ACTTTTTACTTTTATACTTTTGTATAAAAGTAAAAAGTTTGTATCAGTACTTCTACTTTTACTGGAGTCTTTTTCTACTTGAGTAAACAATGTGTACTTCTGCCACCTCTGAATATCACCAGCCTTATACTTTAATGACCCTGAAAAACAAAAAAGATTTCTTAATGTTTCTGTCTGTTCTCTTGATCGTGGGTTGAAGTGGACGGGGCTCAGTTGGAAAAAGGTAATGTCACATAGAGTGTAGCAACCTTTGAATCAAAATCTGGTGACAGTTATGTTGTTTGTCAATTAAATGTGATCAATTCACACACACACATTTAGGACTGCAACTGATGATTACTTTGTCAAAAAAAAAACGCTGTAAGAATGTTCCACAGCCAAAGGATACATATTGTCTTCATATTGCTTTATTTATAAAACCAACAGACCCAAATATATTTAGTTTACTATCATGTGCAAAGAAAGCATCAAATCCCTCACATGTGAGAAGCTGGAACCAGTGAATATTTAGTATTTTTGCTTGAAAAAGGACAAAAATAATCTATTGTTGACCCAAATAGTTGCAGATTCATTTCTAATAGTTGCAGCTCTACACATAGCCCAGATGACGTTTTGTTCATTTATGACAAATGATAACTAAGTGTGTTTTTTTCTTAACTTTAACTTTGATTGTTGCTTTAAATTGAAAATGGAGCATCCAAAAAAGAATAACCTCAACTTTATAATGGTTATAACCCAGTTCTTTTCTATTCTGCTTACAGCAATGTGTTAATAGAATTTTAAAACTTGCATTTCAAACATTGCTGCACAAAGCAGAATGCCAAGTATGAAATGCAACTAATCTACAAATTATGTACTTTTCAATCTAAAGCTAAGACTGAAGTTAAAAAGACCAAACATATGATGCTATACATACTGCAGCTACTCAGTTTGACCCAGAAATGTTGGTCAGTAAACACACATTTTAGAAATATTCCTGCGCTCTGGTGTGTATTTGTTGCAGCCTCAGATGCCAGATCCAAATCTCGACTGAACTGCAGAGCTGTTTCAATACTGCAAAAGAATGGAAAAAAAAAACTTTAAGACTCTGAGCCACCACCCCTCCCTGCTGCCTGTCGCTGGCTATTTCTATGACTCTCATATGAAACACTTCTGACGTTAAACACCTGTTAACTTTTATGTCTTGTGAGAGGAGTGGCTGAATGGGAGAGCATTATGTTCAGCACTGGTCGGTCTGGCCAAATCCCCAGTAGAGGAAAGACCACTCCCAGCGCAGAGAGGCAGCAGCAGGAGTGAGTGCGCCTCCCTGATCCCTGCAGCCTGCGAGGATCCCCTCAGCTCAAAGCCAACAGTTACCTCTATTCCAGTTGACAGCTGCGTGAAACCACCATCTTTCCACAGCTCTCTGCTGGATAAACTGCCCCGCTACCCACCAGCAGACCTGCTTAAGAGGCAAAGTGAGGAGATGTGAGGAGGTTTGAGGCAGCTTAGTAGGTCGGTGTCTTGTATCATAGTTTTTCCTTTCACATTTAGATGCCAGTGTAGTGTGTCCTGCCAGAATCCAAATAACCTGCACATCCTATCATCAAAGGTCCCAAACTCTACTGTAAGACCATAAAGATTACGTGAATGGTGTTATAGTTTATTTGTTGTATTGGTGTTGAGGTACTTGTACTTAATTTGAGTAATTTCCTTTTTATGCCACTTTATACTTCTACTCTACCGCATCTGGGAGGCAAATATTGGTCTTTTCACTCCTCTACATTTATCTGACAGCTTTAATTACAAGTTACTTTGCAGATTTTACTTATTAACACAAAATATAATCAACTAATAACTTATGATGTAATATTAAAAATTAAACTGCCAGCAGTATATTAAGTAGTTACAACTTTTACCAGCTGCACATACTAATGCATCACTAATTATAATCCAATAATATAATATATGTGATTCGGAAATGGGCCATACTGCATAATGAGTACTGTTACTTTTGCTACTACTGACACTACTTGTGTACTTTTACTGAAGTAAAATTCTGAATACAGGACTTTTACATATACATATATACATCTAAACTGTGGTTTGGCTACTTTTACTTAAAGCTAAAGTAGGCCTTTATATAAGAATAAATATTTGCTGAAACTTTCACTATATCCTGACAGTAGTACATGACACAGATAATCTGTGAAAGAATCAGGTCCCTCTGGCTCGTTCTAGTGCTCCTAATGACATTT